ATATATATATATATATATATATATATATATATATATATATATATATACATTAATCAGTTAAGTATGTGTTAATTCATGTAATATAGTCAGCTGTTAAACCAAATAAAATATAGTTCAGATTATTAAATACATTTTATTTTAATAAAAATGAATTTTGAAGTATAAAAATCGTTATCACTTATTTAATATGATCATAACTTTTGAGTATATTAAATTAATCTATTATTCAATTAAAAAGTTATTTATGATATCATTCATTTTTATTTACTATTGTAATTACAAGAGACTAATATGTCTAAAAACAAACTATCAGTTAAAAAATATTTTTCATTAATTACCAAGTATACGATATTTCTTTTTACATTTATTTACATTTTTGTTTTTATAACTCATTTGTGAGACACTTTTTTTTTTTTTTTATAGTTACCTCTTTTTTAATCATCAGTTTCTCTTGGACTTTTAACATTACTTATTTACTTTTATTTAAAATAAAGTTTTTTTTTATTAATCACTTTAATTAAACATAAATGTTTATATAGAAAATTATATTATAGTCGTTTAAGACATAAAATTTCTCTTTCTACATAATAGTAATTCAGGTTAATATATAAGTGTAAAAGTTTCATGATCATTGGTATTATCCATAGAATGAATACTTATGTTTTGTAATATATATGTTTACCCTTCTCAAGGTTCACAGTATCTGATATTTGCATATACTAATATTTCATAACTTAATGCATTACAGTTCAAGAATCTCAACTCTGAGTGCTTATATTGACTTTAAAATTTACCATATCCTATAAGGGACTACATTATCTGCTGTTAAAAATAATTACTAACGTTTTTCTTAACAACTTATTCAGTTATTTTTCTTTCATATCGTGTAGTGAAAAAATACATAAACTTAACTCTTACAGTAACTTAATATTATAATTAGATGTGCCTGTGTTAAACATCTAACTATTTGTTTACATCTAAACTTGAAAAAATCAAATGAAAATATTTTTTGTTTTTTTTCTTACACACAGACTTAAAATTGTGTCCACTAAGTCTAAGATCTCAATGATTAGAAAAATATATCTCAAGTTTTTGAATTTTTCTGTATTAATGTAGATTTTTTTATAATAATAAATAATTTTATTCCAGACCAAATGAAAATATTTATATTTTTACATACAATTTACAAATAATTATCTGATAGTTGATTGTATTATCCTGTTGCACTTATACCTAATTTAAATGCAATTTCAACCATATTTTGTGGTATTTCTTCTTCATAACAAACATATACTTCACGTTTATTTGGTTCTTTGATTAGTCTCCTAAAAATACAAAGATAATACATAAATAAACAATTAATATAGTATAATATTTGACCATATATATATATACCTACCCCATGACCCAAAATGTTATAGTTGATGATTTTTTAGAAGAATCTGCGTTATATGAAGATATTTGAAACAATACTCCAATTTCGTTAATTTCATTTTCATTCTGTAAATAATATTTAAACTATTATGGTTAATAAATCAATATTTTCATAATAATGATAACTGACCTGATTTGTTACATCAAATAAATCTCGTAAATCGGTTACAGTTGAATAAAATTTCTCTTCAACTTTTTGAAATATTTCTTTGGTTTTTGGATTATGATTATTATATATTGACGGTGAACATAACATAACTCCTGTATGACAATTTATGTCAAGGTAGCGGAACAGCATACTTAATTTACCAAAATTAAATCTGAAAAAGGTAAAACATTAATACACTAAGCAATCAATCACTAATTAAAAGTTATTATAAATTACTTATTAAGAGGTACAGGTAAATTCTTTGAAACATCTGACATATCCATTGAGCGCGAACTATCCTAAAAATAATTAAGTTAACTAATATTATTTTAACTCATATAAAGATTTATTTGTTAATACTACCGAAACAATATATTCATCTTCAGAATTATCGGACCACTCTAATGATGAAGCTTTCATCATGCGTTCAGCTCGACGACCAAATACTGGACCCTGTACATACATACTATCTTCTGTGCTTGGTGCTCCACTACTAGTTAAACTTGTTTCAGACAATGAATCTAACTGTCTAGAATCTACAAAATAAATGTTCACCCTAGATTAATATCAATTGTCAGTTAATATTTTAAAAGTTAGTATTTTAAATTACCATTATATAACTGAGAATTCAACGCTATATCACTTTTATGTTTTAATATAGAAATTATTTCTGGTTTTTTAGTTGGAGAACCTAAAAAATGTTTTTTCATTGTTAAATAATCTTCATATATAAGTTAAATTTAAAAGATATAAATATAATCACCATTTAATTGTTTATTATTTGAATTTAAATTAAATGCTGAATTTTTCAAGGATTCTCCTTGGTTAATTTGCATTAAATTACCTTCAATCCTAAAAATTATTATGTTATTAATTTATCAATTGCTAAAACAATAAAATTAATATTTATAATCCAGTATTATCAGAATATTGAAGATTTATAGAAATCAGTGAAAAAACAAATAACATACATAAATTAGTTACTGTATGATAACTTGCCTTTAAATTTAATATGTGTGCAAACATGAATAAGTACATATTTGAATTAAAATAGGTTCATAAAAAAAATATGTTAAATTATTAAAATCAAAATCAAAAATGTTTCATTTTCCAACAAATGGAGGTTCAATTTTAAAGTGGAAATAATGGTATGTATTTGAATCAGGACAAAAGTTATTTTCTGTTTTAAGGATATTTTTATTTTTGTCTTCAACCAACCTTTGGAGATTTGTTATATTGAATTAGAATTACTAAATTACTGAATTAGAAAAGCTCTATAAAAGAAAAAGTGATATTCTTAAGCTTAATTTTATAATGTTTGTAAGTCAGCTATTGAAGATAAAAAATGTATAAAATTAATAAATATTTTATCATGTGTATCAAATGGTAAAAATAAACATGAAATTTGCGACAGATGTAAATTGAACAAAATTCTTTTTATGTGATTTTTACAAAAAAATAAACCAAGGTAACTCCATATCAGAGCCTATTAATGTGAACAATATGTGTTCATATTATATTTATAATCATTGTTAAACTATCTGCACTCTCTTAGTCCCAATAGTGTGAATAATTGATGCTCCATTTTACATATATTTTAAACTACCATTTTTCTGCCACTTCATCAACATTCATGTTAATAACATTTTCTAATGTATCTTCAGCTTCTTCCACATAATCAACATCAGGTCCATAAAAAGTTTCATTTCTAACAAATAAAATAAAAATGTAGTCTGTATCAAAAAAATTATTTTTATAATTTTACTTTAAATAACAAGGTCCAACTTCAAGAAGGGTTGCCATTAGATTATTTCCACGGCCAACTATTAATAAATACCATTTAGATTTTGGTAGTGTATATACAGAACCAACAAGCAAACAGCTTGATCTAACAGAAGAAGGATACACTCTTCGGAATATTATTAAACGTTCTAGGTATTCGGAGGTAAGTAAGTGAAATAAACCATTTTGTAAACAAAACATGTGAATATCTATATGATCTTCATAGTTTAAATGAGATGATAATAGGTAATCCTAGGTATAAAATATATTATTATTATTATTATTCATATATGGGTTTTATAATAATTTATTGTATTAACTTAATATTACCTTATAATAAAATGATGTACCAATAACCAAGTATGGTCGAGGTTCTCTAGCATCTTTACACTAATTAAAATAAAATTGATAATAACTTAAAAAAATGTATATAATAAATAATACTTTTGCAAAATACATACAACATAATTAGCTTCAAGTTCATTTAATATATCATCCAGTTCCATCTGATAACAAATTATATTTAATATTTATCTAGTTTATAAAAACAATTTTTTTATATTTACTTGAATACTTCTAGGCAGGGGAATATTCTTAGAGGCAGGTAAGTACTTTTCAAACTTTTGGCCATTATCTATATTATGAAACATATTGACTTCAAATATCTCTGAGAATATAATTGTAAAGTATTTATCTAACAAGTAATGATTTTCTTTATTTGAAAAGCAACTAAAATATAGAAAATGTATAAATATACTCATGAAAAAAATAGCTATATTTAAGTATATAAAAAAGTTACCTATTTAAATTTTCATAACAGAAGCATAAATTTCTAACAATGTTAGAAGCCATCTGATTTGCGTAAGTCAAATTCAATCTAGTTAAGTATAACAAAACTATATTATATGATATTAATTGACTTAAATAATAATTACTTTGAATCTGGTACGATAAAAATATATGTTCCTTGACCTTCGAATACAAATATCGCATGAACTAATTGATCATCACAAATCATGGATGTACTGTAATAGATAACATAAGAACAATTATTTTAAAAGTTATAAAAGTAAAATGTTTAAACCTTTTTGTCTGACATTTGACAATCTGTGGAACAACATGACTAATAGTTAGAAATGCTCCTTTAATTTGATGGAATATAGATGACGAACCAGGATATACATAGATAACATTTGAGCTATCAACTGACAAGTACATTACTGCAATAGGATATTGAATAAGTTCTAATATAAACTCATCATTAATAGTCTTTGAAGACAAATAAGTAGATAATTGCTGGTTATTTTGTTTTTCAACACTAACTAAACTGACTGCAACTCTTTGAACAGCTAACGTAATCTAAATAATAAAACAAAAACATGCTGGTATAGTCCATAAAATTAAGTGTACAGTTCTATAAAACATTACAGTAGTCGGTGGAATTATGTTTAATAGAATCTGATCCAATGTTTTTGCAGTTATTATTTCTCCATTTATCATTTTAAGCCAATCTCCTACACATAAGTAGAAACAAAGGCAAAAATAAAATATAATGAAATAAAATAATTATCAAGTACCTATTTTTATGGACCTCTGATTGTCGACAGGAGAGTTTGGAATGATTGATGCTACCATAATACGAGAACCGTCTTCAAAAACCGTTGTCGATAAACCCAACAACTTTTCAGTTAGAGTGGCTCTTCTGCCAAGATTACTACATGTATCACTTACGACTTGGATTGTTACTTCCCTCAACTCACCTTCCTACAGACGTTTCGATTTTATTTTTTGTCCATTTATTCGGAATATGATTACATTACTATTATATCATATGGAGAGATTCTAGTTTAGCAACCTATCGATTTTTTTAATTTTTTTTTTTCCAAAATGTGTGTTTTAGGGAGTTTTATAAGTATGTAAAAAAAGAAGCCCGGACAAACTTCATTTTGAAGTTATTGATGAAAAACTTCAAAAACTTGAAGTGATGTCCTTTGTGATATTTTCGTCTTCCGAATTTTGATTTGTCAATTTCAACATTTGACCCCGGTCCACCTACATACGAATTATTTATGAAGAATAATGCACTAAAAATTGTCTAACAGTGTGAAAATGAAATAAAATTTTTTTGCAAACGATACGTGTGGTATCGGCAATGGCCAATGAAACTATTATACGAGTGTTTCGGCACTTGTCGCTACGCTCTTCGGCGTCGTCGCTTCGCTCCGCAAATCAAAAATATCCCTCGACTTGCTATGCAAAACTATCTCAAGTAGGTAACAGGGACAATAAAAATGTAAATATGTGAAAATTAAAATTAAATATTCAATTCTAAGTATTTTTTAAAAAAAAATGCGCGTTATGAAAAAAATTTAGTTTTGAAGTTTTTCATCAATAACTTCAAAACGAAGTTTGTCCAGGTTTCTTTTTTTTTACATACTTATAAAACACCCTAAAACACACATTTTGGGGAAAAAAAATTAAAAAAAATCGATAGGTTGCTAAACTAGAATTATGCCTATCATACACATACTTGCGTGTCCAAGAATGTAACTTTATTAACGTTTCCTGTATGTTTCGAACCGTCGTTTCTGTCTCTGCTCCTTTTGTTACGTTTCAAAAGTTTTACCAATTTGCCCGCTGCGGTTTTCGTTTTTTTTGGCATATCGTTCGACTCAGTAATACGTTTGGTAAGCTTTGTCTGTTTACGAGCCGAGCATTTAACGTAGAACAACTGCCCCCGGTCATCGATTTCGTTTTCCCACTCGTAATCCGAACTGAAAATTCGTACAAAATTAGCCGCGAGAACCATCTACAATTAATTAATATTTCAGTGCAATCAGTATTTTGTTGTGGCCTTACACGTTCGAAGCGACATCGTTGCACTCGCAAGTGGAATGTGTGGCGGAACTGTCGTCACTGTCGCTGAGGTACGTTTTGAAATGTTTGTCGCGAACGTTGTTCTCGTTCATATTAGAGGATCAAGATCCGGAGCAACGGAAACTTTAACGGTGGTAAACGACGTGAGCACAGACCACCCTTGGTTCTACGCAAATGAACAGTGATGATAAATATTAGTACATTCAAGAACACCGATTGTTGACATCATAACTATTATTATCAAAATAATACGCTATCATTCGTGGATGATAAAAGATATTGTAAACTCCCGTTAACTGTGGGGTGATAACGTCTTAGATCTATGCTATAGGGTAGCTCAGTGGTAGCAGGGCTGTCAGATTAGGTGGTTTATCACCAATTGGTCTATATTTGATGACCAAATATCGCCAAAATGTATAGCTTGGCGGGCTACAGCCAATTGGGCGATTTAACAATTTCCAAGTAGGCGTGTTTTGGCGTTTAGTGTAAAAATTTAATTGCCGATTATTTTTTTTATTTTCTACATTTTGATAAAATAATATATCAAAATAAAATGTTTATAGAAGAAATGTCCAGAGCAATCGCCTGCAAGACTCGGAATTCGATTCCTAGTCCGGCGCATAGGCGTGCGCAGACTTTATTCGCAGGTTATGCAATAAGAAATATAGGGCCCCTCACAAATAAATTTTCCAATCTTCCCTTAATTTATTTGCATTTTCTTTTAACGCATATAAGATTCAAGTCACAATCTAAGTTTTTGCATATATACTACGTAGCTTCTTTACTTCCCTTAGAATCTAAAATCACACATAATTTTACAGTAGAATATTAAACAATGCACTGTAGAAATAAGTAGTTTGAAATTTGATTTATATTTATTAAAAAAAAATTTATTATTTATTTAAGATCAAGTATGTACTATATTGAATGCTATTGAATAATTTTAACATATTAATAATGTTGTTATTTTATGAAGAGTACTTAAAATCTAAAGTTCAAGTCTTCTTTTTATCGGCACACATGCTTTGAATTTATCTATTATATCTTCAATATTGATTTCTGATGCCATCTTTTGCTCGATAAATATTAACATCAGTGAATCAAGACGTTCTTGTAACATAGCGTTTCTAAGTTTAGACTTTACAATAGACAATTTAGAAAAATCTCTCTCACACGAGCAGCTTGTCACAGGTATTGTTGCAAATTGTGTTAAAGCTTTATCGAAGTTTGAAAATATTGTTTTCCGGTAGTTTTCTGATAACTAATTCAGCCATACTACAATTGTTTTAGTTGATAACCCTCTAATAGAAGTTCTATCAGACATATTTGTAATGAGCTTAATTTCAGACTCAAATGTAGCATTCAAATTAAATTTTTCCTTCAATGTTGAAATATCATTACTATCAAGCTTTAATTGATTTAAATTTCCTGTGGCGGTAATTAAATTTAAAGTTTCTTAACTTAATAATAAATATGGGCCCCTCCAGTGGCGTAGCCAGAATTTTTAAATGGGGGGGGGGCTAACTACTTTTTTGGATAAGTAAGGTAAGAGAGGATATGAGAATTCAGCCTTACCCCCCCCCCTTAACCATCTACCACCAAGTTTCTAAACGTAATTCAAGCATTTTAGTATAGTTTTAAAAATATTTATTAATATATAATTTATAATAATAATAATAATAATTTTAGTTTCAGTATTCAGTCACTTGCTCCACTCTGACAGCTGCATCTTCTTAGGCGAATTTCTGGCAAATTCAGTTATTATTTCACTTTTATCGAATTGCTTTTTTTTATTTATATTAGCCATAGCTAACCCATTCAGTCTGTTTTCCGACATGGTGCTTCTTAAAAAAAATTTTAAGCGATTAAGTGCTGAAAACGTTCTTTCCGGAGTGAAAGAGGTAACTGGTAACGTGGCGAATAATTGTAAAAGTATTTTAATGTTAGTTAATAATTTAAATTTATTTAAAGACGTTTAATAAACAGTTTAATATCTAATATTGTATATAATTATAATAATACTAAACATACAACAATTAAATGTACACCAAATGAAGCTAGCACAAAGGCTAACAAAAAACAATTACTTAAAACAGAAAAAATAAAGATAAAATGTAAATATAAAGTAAATGATAAAGTTAGAATATCTAAATATAAACATACATTCAGTAAAGAATATACACCAAATTAGACGACAGAAATTTTTACAATTTCAAAAATTTTACAAACAGATCCGGTAACTTATCAGTTAAAGGATTCATCAGATAATATAATTCGTGGCTGTTTTTACGAACAAGAAATTAATCTAACTAATTTTCCAGACACCTTCCTCATTGAACGTATTATAAAAAGAAAGAAAAATAGTATGCTTGTTAAATGGCTGGGGTTAAATTCAAATTATAATTCATGGATACAATCTACAGATATTTTAAAATAAAAATTATGTATTATAGTTTTTAATTTTTAATGATATTTTTTTTATTTGTGATACTTACTTGCTTTAAATTATTTTTGCACAATCGTTTTTTAAATAAAAAAAATTAAAATCTACAGAAATGATTAAGTTTTATTTTATTTTTTTTTTTAGTTTATAGTGACCATAAGCTAAGGTGTTAATACCATCAGCTCTAATAAATCGTTTATCATCAAAAGTATTTAAAACAAGCTTATTTAAAGTTTTAGAGCGGACAACATGTTTATTCGATTGAATAAAATTCATATTTCGATAAGCTTGTTCTTTAGAAACAGGTTGATGATTTATGTAAGCATTTAATATATTTATATAATAATCAAACTGTATATGTTTCTCGATTACATATTTTTTACACCTTTCGCTTTTTTTAACACCTTTCAATTCATCTTTAAAATAACCAGGTTGATTTTTATGGTCATTACTAAAACTATTATAACCTTCTAAGAAGATTTACA